AGTCATGGTTGCATCATCGTCTAGAGAACCATGATTTTTTGTCTTTAGAGGAGAACCTGAAATTCATAAATTGGGATTGCGTCCTCTAGTTTATTGGTTGACTTTGATGGTCTATTCATAAGCTCCTGCAGTGGACTGTGGGTCATGATAACTGCTAGGTCCGTTTGAAAAAGCTAGGTGGATCGTTGTCTGCAGTTGAAGGTGGGGTGCTCTCGTATATTGATAAACTCCTAGATCTAACGGATCTGATTCCCATAAAAAAATTAATTAGTTTTAATTAATGTTATGATATATAATTTTTAGAATGTTTATTTGAATTTTTGTGAATCTTTTGATATTTTATTTTTGTCATTTGGATATATAAATTAAGATAAATTAAATTTTCAATATTTTAAATAAAATATAAGATTTAAAAATTCTAAATATGAAATAAAATAATTTCTAAAAATATATGGGACATCCATAAATATGGGGCCCAAAATTTAAAATCATGTAGATTATGTGGGGCCACACATGGCCACCAAAAGGGTGGCACGCCCCACCCATTCACGTATTCTTTTTTGGAAGGATGTTTATCCCTTATTTGTTGGCTTATCTTTTGGGGATAGCCAACTTATTGAATATTTGAAATATTTAATAAATCTTTGAATCAAGATTGCTTGATCCAATAAATAAAGATTGGATATATACTTTTTTTATTTAAAGATTTAATGGGAATAGATCTAGGAAAGGGAGGATAAGGCTCTAGCTCATTTTTTTGAATCTTGATGGTGGATCAAACAGATGGATGGCTCAAATCTCTCACCCCACAAGTTTCATTAGATCGACAGTTAAGATTTAACCCTACGGATAGAGGTAAACCCAAGGCATAGAAAATCTATAAAATGAGGTCTCTCCCTTCATAAAATGAGATACATATTCTCTTATCTCTCTTTAGGAATTCTCTCTCCCTACCCTCTGGATTACTAAAGGGGAGACACATCCCAAGTTTTATCTTCTATCTCTCTCAAGTTTTTTCTAAGAGGGTACACCCAAATCATCTTTCTCTCGTTGTTTCTAGATGACACACCCAAGCTAAAGTTAGCTTGTGGTGATTTGATTTTTGGGTAGTAAAAGGGATGATCCTCTTGTTAGTAGATCTCTCCCTCTTTCTGTGATCTATCTCTCATCTCTCAAAAGATCAAGCTAATGATTGAGGTAATCTCTAGCAACTCTCTTTTTGTTTCTTATCATATTTAATTATATTGTGTTTATATTATCAAGCATAAGAATTGTGGATATTTTCTTTGTTTAAAGAAAATTGGTTTAATGGCATCAAAGTTTTTAAAATTCTAGATTTGTTAGTTTTATTTTCTTTGAAGCAAGAGTTATTGTAATAAGACTACTACTTATAAGTGATATTTGCTAAAAAAAAAAGGAAAAAAAAAAGAATGAAAGGGTGAAAAGAAGAAAAAATATATATATATATATATATATTCACTGGCAAGATCACATTAGTCTTTCTTTCACTTATATGGTACAAAAAGGTCTTAGCAAGAGGATCTGGAAGATGAGTTTTGTGGATTAGTTTTCGTATTTCATTTTGTGCCCACAACTTTAACTGTTTAGCTATCTTAGAGAAGATACAAGGAACACAACAAAAAAAAAAAAAAAAAAAAAAAATAGGTTTCATGGGCTGGATCAGATCACAAAACTGGATCACCTCTAGATCACAACATTCAACCGTCAACCCAGCTTCATTTATACGTGTAGATTGCTGAAAGAGACAGCGAGTAGTTATAAACATAGGCCTATTTGAAATGTATTGGGTGATACCAAGGTTGGTGGGACACTTGAATAGAGCATTGGTTCCGATATTTAAAAGTCGGGTTCTGCAGTTGCCTGAGTTGACTCTGTTCCGTCTAATCCTAGATCCATCAACCAAAAAATGAGAATAAAAAAGATAAAAGAGACTCAACATTATTACATGAGTCTTAACTGATTCTCCAGGGACTTGGTGAGTCTATATTATTTTCCGATTCATGGATAGAAATGGAAAGTGTTTTCCCTATTCCTGCGATTTTCAGTTTATAATTAAGGCAAGGGCAGTACCTTTGACATCAAATGCACTCTAGGGCCCAAATTTGATGATCAAGGCCCATTTCATCTGTTACGCTCTTCAGTTCAATTTTATAATGGGGAATCCTTTATATGTTTTACAGATGATATATGAGAGTTTTCAAGATTATGTTCCTTTATGACTTACCACCGGGCTTTGTCCATCTCATAATACATTGTTCATTTCCTAAGCAGGAAATGCTATGGAAATTTGCCCGTTAGAGTTTCCTCGAGAATTTGAAGTTGAAGAAATTATATTCATGCTAATGATGTGGTTTTGAGTGTGGATGAATTCCACTATTTCGGAAATGACGAACTAATTCAAGCACTGAAGATGAGTATTGAAAATAAACTTCTACAATCTAGATCTAGGACCTGTCGAGTAATTAAAAAAAGGGCCCAATACGGTAAATTGCAAAAAAGGGTGCTGAAGATTAGTATCCACGGTAACTCACTAACGCTTATGAAAACTTATGACTGCAGGTTTTGCTAGCTTACACTTGAAATTGCTTAAGTATTACCGATAATAATAAAAATAAAAGGGCAAGCTTTCTGTGCTTCTCCTACAACATAAAACTTATATGCTTCCCCTTATCCAACCGTCCATTCTGAATGAAGGGCTAAGATT